AGCCCCCCCCCCCTCCCCTCCCAGTAGGCCTCAGCAACCACTGACAGCTATCAGCAGACAGACAACCCTCCCTAACCTTTCCGCTAGCTGCCACCAATCTCCGTGCAGCTTCCCTACAGACCGCAACCACTGTGCTGCCCCTTCCCCAGCTCTTCCAGCTGCCATTCGGCCATTATGAACGTTGTCCCTCTTCCTCCTCCAACCATCGTACCTCCTCCCTGCAGCTTCCCTGCAAGCCGCAGTAAGATGCACTATGGATTCCAACCATCAACAACTTCTCCACTTCTGCGGATTCCAGCAGTCGGGCACCTATCTGGTCTTCACCGAAGTTGTTTGCCTTGCTCCATCACCTCAAAGTTCCTCCTCATCATGATTGTTTGTTTCATGTTGTTGTGTCATTTGTTAGCAATCTTTTCTGCACTTTTGCTTTGTATGATTATTTTCCTTTGTTTTGAGTCTCCATTGTAGCCTTGTTCTAAATTTAGTAATAATATTTGTCATCTTGTAACGTGGTTTGGGTCAACAGTTGTATCATTTGATATTAGAGCTAGCCCAACCCTAGTAGCATCCTAGGGTTTCTATCATCCGCCCCTACCCATTCCACCACACAAAATTTTTATCTTTCTTTCGTTTATTTTTTCTCTTATTTCTTTGTTCCTTCTTTTCTTTCCTTCAACGGATCCCAAACCGTCAAGCATACTGCTAAATAGAAATATGTCGGAGCCTACCTAATAAGAGATATGACGAGAGCTCCGTCACCTCCAACAATGAATTGCAGAGATTGAAGAAATGACACAGGGAAAAGTTACCTTTGACCGAGACATGGAGAGTCGAAGGGGAGAGAGAGAAGAGGATTTGAATCCCTTCCAAAAGGATAATTTCAGCAATTAAGAAGATAGGGCATGGCGTTTCAAAATCCATTATCAGAGGAGGCCTAAGGAGGGATACATGTGTCTCTTCCATAGGGAAACTTTAAGGGATGAGGTGTCATTTGGAGGGCACCCAGACCACGGAATCAAGGTAGACTTGCTCTAGTTTGAGGGGGCATGGATCCGAATGAATTTATTGAATGACAGGTAGTTGAGTGGATTTTCAAATACAAAGAGGTGCCCGAAGAGAGGCGGGTAAAATAAGCTGCTATCAAATTGAAGAAAAGTGCCTCCCTGTGGTGGAAGAACGTATAACGATGGAGGAGACGAGAAGGCAGCGAAATGATTACCAGGTGGGACAAGATGAAAAAACCATGCAGAAGAAATAGCTTCTCCCTCATTAACGCCAAGATATGTTTTTGAAACTTCGCAATCTACAACAAAGAAACCTTTAAGTAGAGTTCACACCTCAGTTCGACCACTTACAGCTGAAGTGCGACCTGACAAAGCCAGAGGAGAATACAGTAGTCAGATATCTTGGGGGCTTGAAGCCTAGTATTAGAAATGTGGTGTATCTACAACCATATTAGACATTGGGGGATGTCCAAACACTAGCATTGAAAGTGGAAAGGCAGCAGAAGCAGAGCCGACATACACCACCAACCAGAAAGCCGCCCACAATTGGAAACAACGGCAGGAGCACACCTCAATAAGTTGAGAAAATTGGTTCGGATACAGATAAAGCCACCCTCAGTGAGAAGAAGTTTTCTATAGTGCCCTCTGGAAAATGCTTCAAATGCCACAAATTTGAACACATAGCCTCCAGCTCTCGACAAGCAATGTTGTACCTTTTACCGAGTAGGGTGACATGGAAGAGGTTAGCAAGTAGCAGAAGCAGAGGAACAGGTTGAGGATTATCAACTTCCACTAGATGGGGGGAAGCATTTGTGATTCGACGGGTTTTGCAGGCCGAAGACACGGGGGATCTAAAGTGGCTTCGCCACAACATTTTCTACACCCATTGCACAGTAAACAGGAAATGTATGCAGTCTTATCATTGATGAGGGTAGCACTAAAAATGTGGCATCAACCTAGATGGTAGAGAAACTGTAACTCACGACTCAGGAGGCAGGTAAAATTGGGTAGAGAAATCCACGGGTATGAATCCCTCTCTCTCTCTCCATTCTAAGTATTCATTTCCTTCCTCACAATTTTATTTTAACTTTTGCCTCATTTTTCGTGCAAATATCATTTCCGGTAACCGTCGAAGGCACCGATTTCCTGTCAAAAGCGTTAAAAATCCTTTGCAAGCTTTTGTGTGGGTTCTAGCACGAAATCAATATAAGGGAGGAGTGGTTGGAGGTGATAGAAAAATAATTAGGCAGGTTTGGAAGGACCGATTATGCTGAGAAGTTCATTTGAGATGTGTATTAGAAATTAATGCATATTTTGGGTTAATGCACATTATGAGCCAAATTTTATGAAATCTTATGTTGTCTACTAGCCTCAAGTTGTCTATACGAGGTAGTGAACTCGAGACGAGGGTGTAGTCACTCGTCGTAGGCCTGCTCCATCAAGTCAGGTGAAATAATTTTGTGTTATTTTTAAGAAAAATATTCTTTTATAGGTTTTCATGTAAGTTCTATTATGAAAAAAAAGCATTTAAAATTTTCTACATATTGTGAATGAATATCTGCAATTGAATGTATGAGTGCATGTTTAGTTTTCTATGATATATGTGATGCTATGATCAGGCTATGCTACATATGACAATATTTATCATATAAATTCCCTTCAATTATTCATTTATTATATCTCATGCCTATGATACATGTAATGTCTTCTAAATATTTGATACCGAAATGATGATTTAAATGTCACAAAGAATATTAAATGTAGAATATTACACGAGTACTGCCAAGTACATTATGTAATATTCCTGACTCTCAATATTTATAAGGGGACGAAACTTTAGAAACTATTGGCATTAAGTGGTGACAGAATGTTAGGGAACTGTGAGCATCAGAGGATCTGTCGATAATTGTATGTTGGGGGAACGCCCAACCTTTTACGACTGTTTATATGGTCTTTGTGGAAGAGTGACGACCAATGATGAAAGGATATGGAAATAGTTGAATATTATACAAAGAATATGCTTATGAACATGTTTTCATCCTGGAACTCGGAAACCTAGTTGACGGCACACTATCGTGCATCTGCGCACAATCCCAACTCCAGCAATGCAACTGGAATCATAAGCTCTCTCGGCAGTGAGGACGAGGGGAAACAAGAGAAGAACGATCGGGAGAGGGAAGAGGGAGTGGGACACGGCTTACTGCAGTTCATGTGACTCCACTAAGCCACTCGCCCCTTTCCGTTCATGTCTACAGGCTAAGCTACAATCATAGCTCCTCACAGCAGCTACTGTCGAGCACGACTGAGAGGGAGGGAAGGAGTTTGTGCGAACGAAAACGAGAGAGCGGGAGAGGAGTAATGGGAGAGGAGAGGAGAAATTTCGAGATCTCTGGATGGAGGATTACCCTATTCGACGATTATATCGCATGGGTTAGGTCGGTTAGCTATAGTGAGGGGATTAGGAAGGATTAATTAATGGTTAATTAGATTTAATTAATTTATAACTTTTAATTTTTATATCTTTCAATCTATTCAAAATTTATATATAGTATTTTATATAGAATCGATCGATTTGAATTGATTCGGTTGATTTCTGAGGAATCTAAAATTTGGGGTAAATTTTAGATTGCCAAAAATTTTATACAATTTCTCAAAATGGATTATTATAAAAGTGGAATTTAACTGTGATTGCAAAGGCAGATTAACTTAAAATAATATCATTTTTTTTTTCTTTGAATCCTGTAGAAATCCAGAACATATCATTTTTTTTTCTTTGAATCCTGTAGAAATCCAGAACATTTAAAACTATAGGAACAAAAAGTCATCTCAAAATAGATGCTAGATTTTTTCTTTTACTTCTTGTCTTTCCGAAGTTATCTGGACTAGAAACGTGAAGCAGGATTCATTGAGTGATATATATATAGATCATATGCCCAATACGCTCCAGAAAATATAAGCAAAAGATAACTAACTTAAGTTGTAAATGAATGTAGATATTGGTTGGGGGTTTGGACTGATTATCTGACCTGATCTTTGTCCACCAATACAGCTCTTACACCTTCAGTAAAATCATTACGAAGTGAAGATCTCAATGCTATTCGATATTCAACCTTCATTACACCATGAAGCTGTACAGGAGCAACACTATTAAGTATAAACACATGAAGAACAATTGGCATAGCAAGAAATCAACAATTCATACTATTACTTTTGATAAATGATGTTCAGCATTTCCATGTGCGGATGCAACTTCAGAGAAATGCTTCTGGGTCAAATACAGAGAAAAAGGTGCACCTTTCCCGAGACCTTGAAGAGCATCATGAGCCCACTCAGAGACTGCAACAATACATACAACGCCAATAAACATTTGAACTAAAAGAAAAATGTTTACGGCCAAGAAAAAAGCAATTTTAGTTCAAAATTACTTGAAAATGCTGCATGGAATGACAACCTCAAAATTTTGGCAAGTACAAATTACATCAATAAAACCAAGTACTTTTTGATGTCCAATGAAAAAAATAGAATAATGACCGATACAAATTTACCCAATAACACGTGGCTAACAACATAATTAGCCTTTTATCACAACAATTTTTGTTTAATTTTTGAAACAAGAAGATACTGATGTTTGCTTTGGGTTGCAAACCTTCAGTAAGATCAATCTCTCAAAATGCAAAGATGTAAGATAATTAAGGAAATAAAGTAAGTTACATTAATTCAGATTAAACTCCAAATAAAAATCTTGGGAGGAACAAATGGAATAAAATCATCCATTAAATTATATTCAAATAGAAAAGAAGACAAGGAAAGAATTTAATCCCCGCCATGCAACCTCAGCATTGCATCATTAGCAGAATTCAGAAAAGTAGGAAGTACATCAGGTCATTTGAAATAATATCAGAAACACAAACAAGATTTACATACCTTGTCCATTAGTATTTAGTTCAAGCTTCTTTAGTTCTTCAATTGTTTCAGAAACCGTTTTCTCTTTGCCAAATGATGATGATATATGGGGTAAAAGCAATCTCAGAGGAGCATCAGAATATGGGGTAAAAGCAATCCTCAGAGGAGCATCAGAATTGGGCTCCTTATTGTATTGTGCTAAAATTGTTTGCACATCTGCGTGGGTGTCCCCAGAGCTGTTTGCACAAAACAGGCAAGACCAAGATCATTAAAAGGATAGATTATATAGAATCCGAAATCATATAAACTTATAATGGAAATTTGACAACAATTTTAAAGTAATGGGTTCCGACCATAACAAGTATTGGAATCCCGCTGACTCAACCTACTAATCTGTCCTAAGCCCATCAGTGATTTAGAAACAATGGTTTAAATGAGTTTCGCTCAAAACTTTGGGGTCAGCACAACCATGTCCTGAAAACTTGTCAAGTCTGAATTGATCGGCAATTAAAAATCTAACAAGATAATGACATGCATAAGAAAGGAGTGTGACATGGCAATCCAAATAACTTGTAAACACGATATGACTGGTTAGATAATCTAATAACAAGCAACCAACAAAAAGAATGACAAACTAAAATCTTTAAATTCATTATTGATTTGTTTATAAACTTGAAGAGCAAAAGAGGGCCTCGTTAATAAATGAATGTGACCTGACAAGAGACCATGGAACAATTGCTAAACTTTCTAAACAAGAGAATTGGGAAAAATTAGGGTTCCCATTCACGAAATCTTCCTCTGTGTCAACTCAACAATGGCAAGGGCCAACACTATGATTTGTTTCCTTCAATAAAGGTAAAGAATGAGAGATGCCATTACTTATGATCATTTGATCATAAGTTAGTACCACATTAATCAAATGTAAAGCCGGCTAAATTTGGAAGAAGTGAGGGACTGATTGCAGTTTCAAAAAAAAAAGGCTGAAAGTTTTCAAAACTTACATGTGTGAGGAACCAACCAATGAAACACTCAAAATCATATAAAATGTGATTTTTATAAGAAGAAATAATGACCAAAACAAATGCATAGCCAACCATTCCGTAAATAAAAAATCAAAATGAAATAACATGACATGAACGTCACTAGGTAACCCTGAACAATGACAACCGCATTATATGACAATCCATTGTTTCAAAGATAATATTAATACAGGCTATCAAGGAGTTGCTCATGAGAAGTGCCAAAGAAACATGAAAGCCTCCTGTAAATTTAGAACAATGCAAGTAATTTGGGCAAGATCAATACAAGTTGTATGAGTGAAAAGCCACTCTAAGAGATGCCAAGCTTCCAGATGGTACGTAATGAGTTCCAAGGCCAGCATACAATGCATCGGCAGGAGATGAAATTCTTTTACCAGTCATTGCAAGGTAACTACCTGCATCAACGCCAAACATATGTTGAATTAGAATCTTCTTAACAAGAAATAGCATTTAGAGGAAGAACTGCCCAATGCCCCCACACACAATCATAAGCAATATAAAATTATAATCTTCTTTTTTTCCATTTTGTAGGGCAGTCATTCCAAAATTGATCCTGCTACAGCACCATAATGATAGCTCAACTGCAGCTAGTGATAAGTATTCATCTATGCATGCCAGTATACAGCATAGAATTGCAAACAATTTAGAATAAATGAAAAAAATTGCATTAAATCATTGGAAACTCTTCATTGGGATCTATCAAGACACCACCGCAATGCAGCCAGGACAATGTCCGCACAAGAGTGAGCCCAGCTTTTGCTGTTTTCCAAGCATGACATTCGGCAGCATGCAGTTCACGCAGGCCTACTGCTATGTCACATACGGCCCCCATCCCCAACGCACCCTTAGGTGACATGGGAGCATCTCGAAAAAGTCAGTCCTGCAATCTCAATCGCGAAAACTCTGTGATATCCTAATGTGGATGCCATATTTCCCACGAGTAGGGATTTTGGCCCCGTTTGCGAATGCTTTGCTGTTTTAAGAATTCCGTTTTATAGCAAATGTTTAAAAAGTAGCATTTAAAAATTTGAATTGACGACAAAGAATTAGCGTTTAGATAAAAGCCGTTGTTTTCTATTTGGATCGGTGATATCCAAGTCGTTTGGATAAAATTCATTGTATCCATTGTCGAGCAAAGCTCCATTCCATAGTTAAGTTGTTGATTCATTCGTGAAGCTGCTTCGTCCTTTCTAATCGACAGGATACTCGAGATCTTCCTCACCTTCTTCTGTTGATCTATTCTAATACTGGAGCTAACCCATACCACGACTCTGAGATACAAATATTATTGCTGAATCAATGGAGGATACAAGGAAGACAAAAAAAATAAAAGAAAACCACCACACAAAGCAAAAAGAGCAGGAAAATTGCAAATGCAAACAAAGCAACACAACAAAGAAGACAAATAATCTTGATGAGGAGCTCTGAAATGGAAGTGTACGGGTTGGCGGCTGAGATGAAGGCCGGGCGGCGGAAGACCATCGATGGAGAAGTATCTTGTTGTTGTGGGAGAGAGAGGAAGGTGAGGGCAACAAGGTGGCGAGAGTGGAGGCATTGAACCGCAGTTGGAAGAAGGAGAGAACATCGTCGGCGGCTGGGAACCGGCAGGGTAGAGGAGGGAAGCATGAAAGAAGGTTGGAAAGGTGGCGAACGACCTGCTAGGCTGGGAGCAGCGGAGACGGCCTGCTTGGGCAAGGGGCAACTTGATGGAGGCAGGAAAGTGGACTGCGGCCAGCTGAGAGGGAGGCGGCACCATGCTGAAAGCAGAACTGAGGGCTACAGTCTGCTGGGTGGATGGCGACAACTTTGCCAGAAACGAGGAGGGTTGCAGCCTGCTGGGAGGAAGGCGTCAGCTCGTTGGAGGTGGGATGGCGGCCTACTGGCTGCAAGGAGGGGGTTGTGCAATAGCATGTGAGGGTGCAGGGAGGGGTCCGACGGTATATGGCAAGCAAGGAAGCTGCCTGAGGGGGGTTGGGAAGATGTAGAAGAGACGGCGGCCTGCAAGGGGGCAGGGAGGAATCGAAATGTCAAAATAATCACCATCTAGAATGGGGCTACAATCGGAGCAACTCCTCGTCGGATACAGCCCCAAGAGAATAGACCAAGACAAAACCTGAATTCAAATGCAAAACCAACACCCCCAACTCTAAGCTCATCATCAATTATTTATAATAAGTTTAGGACTTATTTTAGACAAAACTTAAAATAAGAAAGAAGAATCAAATATAATCAAGATTTCAGATCACGATAGGAAATAAAGTGAGGGAAAATCAGATTAGTTAAGAGTGAATAAAAGTAATCAAAATTCAAAATTTGGAAAGCAATTTAAAATAAGAAGGTGTTGAGAAGGAAAGAAGAGAAGGAAAGAAAAACAAGGGGAAAAGGAAAGGGGAGCAAGGGCGGCAACCCCCCTTGAGGACCGGCCTATCCAACCTTGCTGGATCGAGAACAGGTCGGCCCACATAGCCCCACATCAGTCTCCCGTGGTTGGGGGAGCTTAGACCTCATTCGTCGGAGCTTCTAGTTCCTTATCTTTAACCTTGACAGCACCTAGGTCCCACTATCAACTGTACTATCTCCCAAAGCACTTGTGAGCATACCTCCATCTCGGCCCAATCTCCTAGGACTGAAATGTCTTGCACAGTGGTGGTCAATGGTGGTAAAGAATCGATTATCACTAAAATCAGTCCCGCTGCTCTGTTGATAAGGGCTCCTATGTCCAACGGGCTCTACCGAAGGAAGTAGAATGATGTGTTTGTCATCCTTGGTGAAGAAATAAGTATTTCTGAATCTATTGTGTTGATTCTTCCAATCAAACTATGACAGTCATCCTAGCAGAATGTAGCAAGCATTCATGGAGATCATCAGAAATTACTCAAAGTCCATATCAGTTATGCAACATGAGACATAATTTACTTTTCTTTCCAGATATGCACCTCATTATATTAGTACACAGAAAAAAAAATGTCACCGATTTCTACGCGGCTTGAAAGAATTTAAGGTTGTCTTTGGCGACGTTCGAAATAAGTAATTTTTTAGTACTAACTAAAAGAGTAAAATGAATTAAAAATGAGGAACTTTTCAGGTCAGCGATGGCAACATCAAACTAGCAAAAGAGAGATTTTGGTAAAGGAGAGGAATTCAAAAGCAAGAAAATTAAATCAAAATGTAAGCAGAAACAGTCTCAGTTAGAAAAACCAGTTGTGAGAAATGTGGAAAAAGACACCTAGGGTAATGTTTGATGGGTTCTGGAAAATGTTCAAAATATGGAGTCATGGCATCTTTAGATGAACTGCCCGTATAATAAGAAAAGAGATGGCAGACCACTAACAATTCTAGGACAATGACAACCCAGGAAACTTTTGAAAGGCAGTCAGTCCAACAAAACTCAATTTTTGGGAAAACCTTCAATGCAAATAAAGAGTGAAAAGTTAGAGCGTAGAACTGAGCAACTAGTAACACACCGAGTTTTTCCAAATACCCCTCAACATGCCAAAAAATCTAAAGAAATGGTTACAGGTACACTTCTGATTCAAGATCAACCTGACACTATTATATTCAATTCAGTTGCATCACATTCTTTCATTTTTGATGCTATGTGTTGATATTATGCACTTTACTCCTGCTTTGTGTGTTATTATGCTTTCCAAAAGTGATTTTTATGCAAAATAAAATGTGATTTGCATGTTAACAGTCATGATAAGAAGTTACAAGCAGACTTGATTATCACACCAATTCAAACTTTCGATGACAACGGATTTGTTGGTAAAGTATTTTGCAATAATTAAATGCTTAAAAAAGCGATGTCTGGTGAAAAGCAAGTCATTTATATCTTATGTGATCAAAATGCACAATCTTCCATTACTGGTGGTGTGAAAAAAAAAAATTTTGCGGAGAGGTGAACTTATGTTTCTAGCCAAATTAGTGCTAAGTGGAGCCTGGTTTCGAAAAAAATTAAATAAATAAAAATAAAAATAAATAGTTGTTCCCGCCCTTGCTTCTGCGAAGCAAGCAGGATCCCGCTATCTTTAAGTTTTGCAGAAGAAAAGAAAAAAGGTATGAAGGCGTTGGCTGCCTCCCTTCTTCTCCTTCGGCATTCTTGCTAACGGAAGTAGGAGAAGAGGAAATCGCAAGGCTGCTTTGCTTTTTCGGCTCTTCTTCGGTGTTCCGCTTATGGGAAGAAGATAAACAATCCCAAGTTTTTCTTCCTCGGTGCGTGCGGTGGCTACAGCAAAATCTGTTTTTTCGGTTCCCTTTTTGGTGGCTCACGGGTAGTAAGGAGAGACAGAGGAAGAGAGAGAGAGAGAGAGAGGAAGGCAGAGAGATACAACTTTCTTGTAAATCAAACCACGTGATCGACGACAGTCTAATTCCTCAAGTAATAAAATCATCTGCAACTCCGTGGACGTAGGCAATTTACCGAACCACGTAGATCTGTTTGTTCTATTTTGTTTGCAAATTTTCTCGATCCATTTTTTTATCTTATTGTCGTCGTTTTTTACAACAATTGGTATCAGAGCCGTGGTTCGGATCTGAGAGAAAGCGATGGCTAGAGACGAAGTGAAGTTATCTAAGAAAGAGAAGTTTGATGACACAGATTTTGGTTACTGGAGAATGCAGATAGATGACAACCTCAATGGGGAGAAACTTTATTTTTCCGTTATTGTGGAAAAGACCGGAAAAGATGAATGAGATTGAATGAAATTTGTTGGATAAAGAAGTTTTTGGGGTTATTCGATTAACTATGTCGATATTTGTTGCACACAATGTCGTCAAGGAAATGACAACTGCAGATCTCATGGCAGCACCGTCATGCATGTACGAAAAGCTGTCAGTGAATAGCAAGGTGTATCTGATGAAGAAGTTATTCAATTTAAAGATGGCAGAATGTACGTCCGTTGCACATTATCTGAATGATTTCAACACCATCACAAATCAATTATCGTCTGTAAAAATTGAATTTGATGATGAGATTCGAGCACTAATATTGTTGGTTTCATTACCAAATAGCTTAGAAGCAATGAGAAAGGTTGTTAACAATTCTGCAGATAAATCTAAACTGAAATATGATGATATTCGTAATTTGATTTTGGCCGAGAAGGTATGCAGGAAAGATTCTGGCGAGATTTCGGGTTCGAGTTCAGCAATGAATGTTGATTGCAGAAGGAGATTACAGGACAGTAACTCAAACAAAGGAAGATCAAAATCAAAGCAAGTTAAAGTCTGGTCAGCAAGCAACTTGCGGCAAGCAACTTGCTAGAATTGTGGCAAAACTGATCAAGTAAAGAGGAACTACAGAAATCCCAAGAAGATAGAGAGAATGATAGCGCAAATGTGGTAACTGAAGAAGCACGGGATGTACTACTGTTGGCAGTTCATAATTCTGTTAACAATT